GGGCCGAAAATGAACATCAAAAAGTTGTTATAAGATTTCAGAAAATTCCTTTTCCAAAGGTACATAATAGTGAAACAGAGAGCCGGGATAGCGTAGTCGGTATAGCGACTGGGTATGGCCTGGACGACGGAGGGGTCAGAGTTGAAGTCCATGTAGGGGCAAAAATTTTCTCTTCTCCACGTCGTGTAGACCTGATCTGGGGTCCACCCACCCTCCTATCCAATTGGTATCGGGGGACCTTTCCCCTGGGGTAAAGCAGCCGGAGAGTGAAGCTGACCTCTAACCTCCAGTTGGTACCGAGATCAAGAAAATGTAGATCTATACATCCAGTCCCCCATACGCCTCCATGGCGTAGGGAAATTTTACCTTACCTTTCCATAATACTGAAACACTGCAATGAAGAAATTTTGCCCAGAAGAACCAAACACACTACAAACCGAGAGCTTGTGTAAGTAAATACAATAATATTGTCCTCTGGGACACAAGTATGACGCCGTGGCGAAATTACACGGTGTGGCGACCCAGAAGAAAGTATTCGTCATATAGGCTAAATTCAGAACTTAACCAAACGCCGGAAATACTGTGTTTACGCTAGGAGTCCAAGTAAGGCGCAGTGGTTCTGTACACTCTAGATTTCCAGAAGCGATTTTCTAACCGGAACTATTGTACCGGAACTAAGTTTTGCTATTCCGCTCACATACTGTCTGCAAGAACTTCAAGTTATTTTTTGTCACTTTTAACTTCAAGACAACCGCAATTGCGTAAAGGTTAATGAACTAACCAGCTAAGTTATTAAGAACGGGTAAATTCACAAGCATTTCGTGGTCCCTTCGTCTGAGTTCTGTTACTAGGTTATATATCCGGCAACTGTTATTCGTAAAACTCGGGCTGAAGAGTGTCCCACTGAAGTTAGTTTTACCTTCGTACCGAATGTTAGTTTTAATAAGGACTCTGCTCCGTAAAGTTACTGGAAGTAATATTTCAGTGAAAGAATAATATGGTCAGAAATAAAATAATAAATTTTCTCAAATTTATTTAGGGGCGAAATAAGAGTTATGTTAAATAAATCAAACTCGTTATAATATCAAAAGTTATTTATGAATTCTGGGTTTACAATTGTCGATCACAATGGCCGCACAGTCTAGAGCAGCCGTTCAAACGTGGGGACCGCGGGCCGCATGTGGCCCNACTGTAAGATATGTGACTTTAGGTAATTATATTGAAATTTTTCCTAAATAATAAATACAATTAAATTTCCTTGTATCAAAATCTAATATATATTTATATTTTGAAGTGCGGCCCGGGACTATTATTTATAGGGCTGAGGTGGCCCTCTGTACAAGTTGAGTTTGACATGCCTGGTCTAGAACATAAACTGTCTTCACTCGCTCGAACGCTGGAATCGTGGGTTCGATTACCAATCAAGATATATATGTGTGTATTTATTTTGTGTTTCTTTTCTTCTCTGTGTAGGTAGAGGTCTTGCGAAAAGCTGATCCCCCGTCCAAGGAGTCATATCGAATGTGTACTGGATTAAGAAACCGAAAAGGCCGGCCACAGGTCAAGCGGTTAGTCGCTGGGTTTCCACCTCGGCGGCCCGGGTGCGATCCCGGGTCCGGTCAAGTGGTATTTGTGGTAGACAAAGTGGCACTGGGGCCGGTTTTCTCCGAGTACTTCAGTTTTCCCTGCCAGTCATAATTCCACCAGATTCTCCATCATCATGATCACCCGGGGCAGGCTACAATAGGCCAATCAGTGGCCTCCGTGCCGAGTGGACCCAGTTGGACGCCAACCCCTACTAAGCGAATTAAAAAAAAGAAGAAACTGCAATCTATCAAGGACCAACCAAGGACTATAGAGCCATAAATAGCTAAAGTTGTCCCTATGCTTAATTAATTAAGCACTACGCCATGAAGGCGTATGTGAGAGTAGATGTATAGATCCACGTTTTCTTGACCTCGGTAGTAGGAAGAGGTGAGTGGTTAGCTTCACGCCCCGGCTGCTTTACCCCGGGGGAAGAGTGTTCGGTACCCATTGGATAGGAGGCTGGGTGAGCCCCGGAACCGGTCTGGACGATATGAAGAAGAGAAAGCCCTTGATCCTACCAGGATTCGAACTCCGACCCCTCGGTCGTCCAGCCCGTCGCCATTCGCTATACCGACTGCGCTATCGCAGCTCCACCATAGATAGAGTTTACAATTGTTTTTGTAGTTAATTAAATCTTGGTCAATCAATGCCAGAAATGAAAATTTAGAGACAATGTGCAATCTTAACAAGGTCATCCCACCTTTGACACAAAGCAATTGTGTTCCCAGTAAATGCTTCTTACTCCATCCTACTGGTTTGTCCTGTGCTATATTGTACTGCTCCGCCATTATCTCAGAATGTATAGGCTACAGTCTTAGGACGATTGGTAAATAATTCATTAGAAAGTTTTTTAAAGGAAGCTACCTTTTCCCAATTGAGCTGTCCTCCCGGCATTTGACTGGAGGTTATGAGAAAAAGGAGGTAACCTTAGTCGCAGTTGCTGGTAGAGCCATATTTTATGATCATTTAACGATACATATCGTGAAATATACACACCTAATACACGGCACATTAACAACCCATGCATCATAGGAACTTGTCTCTGGGCTCCACGACCGGGCTTACTACGTAGAAAGCTTCTAACAAAGGCCTACAAATGACATGACATGCTCA